GCCACATATAGATTTCTCGAAACAACGATTAAATTAAAACAAAATAATTGTATGATATTGTTATTTATTACATTATTTGAATATGTAATCTTAAGTTAAGCAGTACATTGAGGTCAGTCAATAGCTGCGTTTGTCATTTTATGATTTCTGTTGAGGAATTGATTTTGTCATCGATCTAGATAAGTATAATACAAATATTATATCATGCAGTGACATGAGACACATACATCTAAAGACAAAGTTCCAATTATATTGATTTCGCTATGTATGTATCATTATTTTATATAAAAATGATATCAAACAATTCGGAATGCAAATGAAACATCATTAACTCGTTAAATCGTTATTTAAAATATAAAAAAGACTAGCCATTAGCCTATCATTACAATCCAACCTTCAAAGGCAACTACTACCTACTCAAATCTTCAGAAGAACCCTGTCTCCTTTTCTCAGCGGCAGTTCTGTTGTTAATAATTTTTTCAGAGAACAAAGGCTGCAGGTTACGAAGGCGGCTTACTGTTAATTATTCCGACCTTGATAACAAATTTAAAGAATATCGAGTTCTGGCTAAGGTAAATTATCAACTATAAAAAATCTGTTTTTGTGTTGAGAATTAACCAAATATTATTTTATGGGATAAATATTTTGTATTTCGACTTTAAAAACAAGTTAAATGAAAATCTTGTCATAGAAAAGGCTTTCGTGAAAAAACACATTTTTAAATGCTTAGGAAACTGTTTTCATATCGAGTATTTAATAATTATTTATGTATAATATAAATACTTTGTTATTCTTCTGGAAACGGATAAAATACAAAATTCCACAACACTTTACTTTATTTATTTCATGTACATACATATCAACATTCGATTAATTATTAGTGGGTGATGATCACATAGCGATGCCGATGCGTGAGCAGCCAAAAAATATGTGTAGGTGGCGTACTTATTTAGTAGATTTCTATTGAAATTTGCAACAAGCACATAAAAACGACACGTGGAAGTAAGTATAATGGGCAAACATTACTATTTAAAGCATTTTATGTCGCTTACTATGAAAGTAGAGTGTGCAAAATGTTCTTTTTGAAATTATTGTTTTCTATTACGAAAAAATATGTTTTGATGATGTAACATTCTTCTGGTTACTTGACGTGGCCTTGTCTTCAGTGCCAAAACATGAAAAAGCCAAAGGTTTTAAATTCGGTCCTGTTTGACATCCCCTAATTCTGCCTACTAACGTTCGACTTTTTTCTGCAACTTTTTGACACTGATTAGATATTATCGACCTAATTTTAAAGAAACAATAAAATATAGTCTAGTTTAAAGTCTCCTTGGTGGGTGTATGTTTGTATGTGTGTTAACATCTAAAATTAGACCACTTCTATTTTTATAATTGATTCTCTTCATATTATTTTTTTCTTGTGTATTGCTAATAACATTATGCATTATTTAATTTAAGTAACATACAATCAATATAAAATATTTTATAGTCATGATACCGATTTTGGCAGATGATCTAATTTATTGTCCACCAGTATAAATAAACTTAAAAATAAAAACATCCTAACATCCAACGGTATTATCATGTCTCTGAGAACCTAGGAAGTGCAGAGTTTGATATCTGTTCATATCTACACATACAAGTACACAAAAAAAAATCTGGCAGTTGATTTATTTCTTCTTTTATTAATGGCTTATCTGCGAGCTTTGCACAATTCTGCCAATGTCAGTGTTTAAACCACTTAAATTAAAATATATTAATTAAAAAATAGACAGTTAATTTAATTTGACAACGAACGTTTCTATAATGTAAAGCCCTTCTTTTTATACTTATTTCTACGACAAAAACTGCCGCATCATTGAATTGACCAAAATACGAACTAATCAAAACAGATGAAATAAAATCTCATGCATTATTTTTTTCCCCGAGAACATCCCAAATTAGCAAATTATAATTCCGAGAATTACGAGACTAAAATCTCACCAAAGAAAATCTTATACAACGGAAAATCCCAACGATATTGGAGATCCCGAAATTTATAATTCTCTGATACCTAGGATAATTATAAGGCCTGTCAATTCTTTGTCTCTCGCAAAAAGTCTCCCATTTTAGACCTTCGTACTTTGAAAGATCTATTATGTGTGAAGCGTTATTGTTATATGGATGTATGACTGTAACGTTAGATTATGTTAATGATTATTGTAATTAAGTATTGTGGTTTTTTGTTTCAGATAAAGATGACGTAAATCTAATGAGACTCCGAAAATTGTAACAGTAAAACATAACATCAGGTTTGTCATTAAACAGTCATGTTTTAAATCAGTTTTTATATCAATCATAACAAAATTATCTGTGTTTAGTTATAATGCGCAAATTAGAGGAAATTATAGACTTAATCTTACAATAATTATTGTTACAATAAATATATGTAGGGTGGAGGCAACAATTATTGGCCATGTTGATTGACTTGCTGTAGCAATGAAAGAAAGAAAAGAAAGAAAGTTTATTGACCACACCTGTCATGAAATTTTATTGTAACATTCGCGAAATTACGAACCCTTTGTTGGTTTTGATAATATAGGCGTTTATTTCCGAGTTCGCCGATTTCCATTAATATCGACCACAAACGCCCTAACATCCGCCGCCCGTGACCCTGATATCGTCATACATTTTCAAAGAGGATATTCGGTCAATAAAACTAGATAAGGAAAAAATATTGTCAAATATTTTTAAGCGAAGTGAAAGAAAAGGAACTCGATAAGAGAATAAAATCCATAAGAGCCAAACAAAATTAAAGAAGAGATCATCAAAAGATTAGAAATTACGAAAGTACCCTTTCAGATTTACCTTCTCAAGGTATAAGTTTGGAAAAAAACTTATACCTTGAGATTAAAATCTATGTGCAGGCTGTAAGAAAGACGCGCTGTTTGACTCAGATGAATTACCCAACGATATTGTACGTTATTTAGCTTGGTTCTGAAGCACATACAGTAGAACGTCGATAAGTTAAAGTCCAAGGGAAACACAAAATATTTTAAGTTATAGAGATGTTGAGTTATCAAGGGTCGGGATAGGTTAATATAGAGGTAGGTATGTACATATATATGTATGTACCCTTGTTCCTATTTTTACTCGAATGCATCAGAAGGACTGTTTCAATAAAATACAGAAATTTTGCAACTTGCACACTTTAAATAAAAATAAAACAACAATTAAAATTTAATTTAAAAAAATACAGACATTTTTAAGTAGACTAAACATTTAATGTTGTAATTGATTATTGTAAACATTTAATGTTTAGTCTACTTAAAAAAGTCTGTATTTTTTTTTTGTTTTAAACAATTTACAGTTTCTAAATCGATTTAAAGAATTTTGAAGAAGCAAACAATAGATGCCATATGTATTGTTTACGTTAACAATTTAACTAGAGAACACGTGCAAGCATTAAATACCGAAACCTTTTGTTTTGCACTCTTTTCAAAATGACTCATTGCAAACAATTTTATGTTATAGAGGTTGTGGAAGCATTTTTTTAAGGGCCAATACAGAGATTACTTATTTAAGTTACAGAGGTTGCGTATTTAAAGTTATTGAGGTTTTGGGCTCTGATGGGATGGGAACATTGGGAACATATTATTTTATGAAGTAATAGAGGTTTTTAAGTTACCGAGGTTTGAATTATCGAGGTTCTACTGTACATGTTTTTTAAAGCCGGCGGCATAACATTGCTAGAACCTGGCGTGGATCTTTTTGAATTTGGAAGATTGCGAGCTAGGGAAGATTTCTTTTAGGCAAGCAGTGATGCTGGTAGAGTCAAAAATTACAGTCCACGCAATATCCATATAAGTTAGTAGAAAAGAAGAGACTAAATATTTAGGTGGCTGTTATTACGTATCGTTTCCCTTTACATCGGCCGTAGCTGATCCAAATAGTTTTTAGGCGGCTGACCTTAGGATTTAGTGATCAGATTGATATGTTCTTTCATATTTAAACTTATTTGTGTTACTGCTAATAGTTAAAATAGCTAAACATTTTGTTTAACATTTATATGCTTTTCCCCAATATCGACCACTCTGTCGATATGAGATTTATCAATAATACACATCCCTAATCTCGACCGAGGGATTATTTAATAAAAAGGCAAATAAATGAAAAATATGCTATCTAAGCGGTACTTTGACTCTTTTCCTTCTAGAACAAATGAAATAAAATAGCTCAGATATTTTCAACGCAATGCGTCGACTCAAGGATTTGACTTTGCAATGCCACCAAACGACGCACGTTTCCACCTGCTTGGACTCTTTTACCAACTGAATGTGCAAATGTTGAGTAATTATAAAGCAAATTTTTGCGTAAAAACAATTATGTTTTTAGGACTATTTTCATAGTTATAATCCATTTTCTCGAAAAGTCCAATAGGAGGCCGATACTGGGAGATTCCAGCCTTTAAAGAGTTCAAATTACATTCGTCCACGACTACTTTCGAATTTTGAGATTAGTGGCACTCTGTGTAAATATTTAAAAGCCAGTTCCTATAATAGTTCTGTATTACACAAATAAACCTTCGTCTTGGAGCAATCTGTGTATTGATGAAAACAGCATTAAAATCCGTTGTGTAGTTTAAAAGATTCACAACACAGCGTACAGACAACGGGAAGCGACTTTGTTTTATACTATGTATAGGTGACTTTTAATGCACCGGAGACCCAACAGTTTTTTATATCATAGAAAATACTCAAACCCGACCACGATCCACTGTGGCTGTCGGCTGCTGTTCGGTGTGAATATTGTATATGAAAAACACAATATCTGGTATTATAAGACGTTACAAAGCTAATTGTTATTATTTATTAATATTATATGTATTAAAAATATATATACAAAAGCTGTTTTATTGACTATATGGATATTCAAGAATATTTAATTTTAATTTATTTACTCGATTATATGGATTTTTTAAAATATTTTGGAATAACTAGTAATTGTTTTCTATAGTAAATATGGCGCTAAAACAAGAGAGTGCTCCAACCCTTACTCCCTCGCGGTTGCCAACCGCCTATAAGGAAAATTCTATTCCTCCACTGGCAACTGAAGATTTCGACGAAGTTGTAAGTATTCATTATAATATTACTGAAAAGAAAATTTTATCTAAATATAATTAATATGTATAATTAGAGTAGCGTAGTGGATAAGCGCCGCGGCCCGCGATCGTTGTCGTTAAGCAACTTTCGCAAAGGTGACCAAAAAATTATTATCTCGAGCTACTACGTGCTTCGGAAGGCACGTTAAGCCGTTGGTCCCGGCTGCATTTGCAATCGTTAATACCCTCCAATCCGCATTGGGCCAGCGTGGAGGGTCATGGAACATCCTCCTTAAACATCCATAAGGAAGGCCTGAGCCCCTGCATTGGGGACGTAAATGGGCTGATGATGATGATGATATGCATAATTATCTGATATTTTTAGGAGGGCTTTGAAGATGCTGCTGAAGAACACAACAAGTGAGTAATTTTTTTTAAACTGACCTTGTTTTCTAACTTTATTTGCTTGATTGTAAATTTTGGAAATACTAATCCAATTATGATCATTCTTTCACCTACGGGAAACTACATCATAGACTATATTTACACGGTCGAAGACACGGAAAAACAGATACACACAATAATAACTAAGTACTTGAATAGGTCCAGTCATCCAGTTTGTTTGTGATATTTATGATGTCTTAACATATATCATTACAGAATTTTCAAATCATGAGACATTTATATAGGACACTCGCTATTTTCCCGCGAATTTGTCTGTGTTAATTATAGCCTATGTCACCCGCATATTCCCGCTGGTGAAAGAATTTTTAAGATCGGTCCTGTACTTTCGGGAGACTATTCGATGTAAACAGCAAACAATCAAATCCAGAAATATTTATAATATAAATGAATAATTAAAATAATTATGAATGTTATGAATCATTTAATATCATTAAGCACTAGTTTTCCGCTAGCGGCTGCGCCGGCATGATCCCGTTTTATACCTACATAAGGTGTAAGATTATTATGTGCCAGGATATCGTGAGGTGGATGAGATAAAAATGCTGAAAATTTTTGCTAAGAGAGCAACACTGAATTTACGAGAAAATAATCAGATTTTTCTTGAATTTAGTATTGCTAGTCAAGCTAATTATATTTCACTTGTCACACGAAGTCCTGGCACATAGTAATATTACACCATATATCAATTTTCCTCTTGAAACACTCTGTATATTTCGTTATGTAGTTTAAAAGACCGAATTAAGCTAAAGCGGTGCCTGTAGCAATTGCTACTTTTGCTACGTGGCTAATCCGGCCCTGCTTGGAGTACATGTAGCGAAAAGCGTCTTGTTCTATGTATATATAGAAGTTAGAAGTATAGAAGTTTAAAAACTGTCAAGTGCTACTTATTACAGTAACCATTCGAAGTATTAACGATTACTTTAAAGAAAATATGAATATGACTCTAGTGAGGACATAAATCAATGATGTCATGCATGAATGAGAAAAGAATTATCCGTAATTTATGTATCGAATATTGCGTTCTATTCTAATATTTTAATTTCAGATGCGATATGGATTTGCAGTTGGCATTTGAAGACTCTGAAATTGCTATAAGGAAATTTTTCAATAACGATTTAGCTGGGGCCATGGATATTATGACGCCTTGGTATGATTCTTAAATTTATTTTATTATGAAACACTGCAACACCTATATTCTCAACAATATTCTTTACTGTATTTGCACGCTTTTAAGCAGGTACTATTTTTTCGGATCAACGAGATATATAATACTTATAACAATAAGATAAAAAAACAGTATGTGGCTTAGTTTTCCTGAATCAATCAAAGAAGATGAGCTTTCATTCAATTATAACATACATGTTTAATATTTAAATGGTATTGTTTCCTTCAAAACCACTATATTAAGAAAGACATTTATATCTAGAACAGATATGAATGCCCGTTTTCACTAACCTAGAACAATGCAAAGTTAACTAGAAATCACTTAATATTAAGAGTAGCGTAAGCGGCTTTGTCGTTCCGCCAAACCTATAACTTTATACTACGAAGCTTAAACAATGTTTGTCTATGATCTTACATACTTTAGATCTCCTTCTTTTGTTAATGTATTTTCTATTTGCATTTAGACGATTCCGCCAATGTAAAGTTAGTAGCCTTACACGTAAAGAGAATAAATAAGAATAAATATTTCAAGGTAAACAAAGTATGAAAAATTATACGTAGTCTTTTATTTACACGAGCACCACTTTGGTGCTCGTGTAAATAATAAAATAAAAATTCATCCATAAATAAAAATTCAGAAAATTATTGAAGTCTCATGATTTATATTATAACTTAATTTTAATATACTTACTAAATTGATTTTATCCCTTACACATCCATTACGCAAATGCTCAGTGCACAATGCATGTCCAAGGCATGTCTTAACTTTAAGCGTTGCATCTTTATGCAAACAAAAACAAAGAGCCACCTAACGACAGGTGGGTCCTTGTCATTGATGTAACGCATTTTCACTTTAGTCAATGCCCTTATATTAACCCTACAAGGCCCCCAGTACCATATGTGGGACAACCATTTATATCGTCCCTACAGCGATGAAAAACGTGCAGCGACATCTATTATCAATCCGAACACAACCGTTGGATATCTAGCAACAAAATAATACAAAGCATTGCGCATATATGTTGCCACTGCTTCCTGTTTAGATAGTTTGGCAAAAAATTTGAGTAAAAGTTTTACGTTAACAACTCTCGTGATTTCACCAATTTCTAAAAAATAGTAATCGCATAGTTCTGAGTCCAAAAAAAATAAGTGAGAAATAAGGGAGTGTATATTATGCAGAGGTAAGTTATTTTTTTATATTACTGTAGTAATAGTATTAGAAATCGTCATTTTATCTATGTGCCAGATACGGTACATTGAGCTTTCGTGCTCGTTTTACTATTTCGTACTTACGCCAAATAATTACTATTATTTTATTGTCTTTATAGATTATGTCGCGAAGAGGATTGTGTAGTGACGAAATTGAAGATTTCTTGAATATCCCTTCTGGGAGTGAACATGAGGAGGATTTTCTGACGCTGGAAGTTACAGTTATTCCAAAAGCTGATATCGAAATCACTTAGCGACAAGGCAACTTCATTGCCGCCGCAAAGACTATCTTTGTCTCCTGCCAACGAGGACGTTCATGTTGTGAAGGCCTGAAATATTAGACCTGCAGCCTAGCACATCAGGGACAACTACAAGTACCATAACACAATTACGGGCATTTAGGGGATCATCAACTAAAACACTTGGTTCTACGTCTGTGGCTATAAGAAATAAAAGGAGATTCTTTTGGAGAAAAATAAATTTTCATTCACCTCATTTTCCGTTTACTGAAGACACAAGTTTACATTCACCAATTATACACTTTGAAACACCCCTTCGATATTTTTTGTGGTTGAGACTATTATATCATCTTCTTGATATTTCTTTGATCAATAGCTGGTTATTGTACGAAAGAGTTGGGAACAGAATAATATGCGAGTTCCACTAAAACAAAAGAAGTTCAAATTTGAGGTAGGCAAAAGTTTATGTATGTTTGGGCTTCTGCGTCTGAAGAAATTGAGAAGAAAAGAAAGAAGCCCAATACTGCAATCCTACCTCCTCGTGACGTCAGACGTGAAAGGTTTGAGCTTTTCCGGGTCTGGGGTGGAAAAAGGCAAAGATATAAATAGCCTGGTTGCAAAGGAAGACTTCATTTCTTGTGAGAATTTGTCACGCAGAACTTTGCCTGAATAAAGATAATTATTGTGTCTGAAACTTTCATAAGTAGCTTTTTTAAACATAATTGTTTCTTATTTCATTTTGTTTCAGACTTTGTAATGTACATCTTTATTATGTCAATAATTATAAAATAAAAAAAGCTCGTGATAATTAATATAAGATACTGTTTCCTAATAACTACGTTTATTGTAGTTCAGTACGAAATAGTATAGTTAAGGCTCAGTGTACCATATATGGAACTGAAAGAAAAAAATTATTTTCTTGTAAAATATTGGATTATTATTTTTTTATATATTTTTTCCTAACTACTAACAGCTAATTACATCATATATATTTTTTCCACAACCAAAAAAAAAATTGAGCCTTGTTATTATTCGCAGGGATTGTGCTAAGATCTTGGAAAAGAAACGGTGGGACAGTGAAGAGTCTAAAATCCATTTCCACAGCGGAGTAAGACTTGGCACAGCCACATTCAACCTTATGATATCCCTTCTGCCGCCTAAGATTATTAGTGTGTTGGAATTCGTCGGGTTCTCTGGAAATAAGGTTGGTTTCACACATTTAGTTTTAAACGTTGTTATCATTATCCTTATTTACGCAACGACTTTACAGGTATCTTATATCTGAAATTGGTGCGATTTTTACTTTTGATCCTTAATAACTGTCCCGCCCACTTACTTCTAAATTATAGAATGACTTAGCTAAGAAGGCAGAGGCATTATTAATCAATAACTATTGTAACAATATTTATAGCAAAATACAAAGCTTTAAATTTATGAATTAAATTATTATTACAACACTAAAAAAAGATTACCTAGCGAAATTGATTCATGTAATCGCATTTGTAAACAACTTCGAACCTTGCCGGTAAGAGGATTAGGAGCTTCTTGGAAAACAATCGGATTTATTCCATTAAAATCTTACCAAATATTCGCATTGAAACATTACCGTCGATAATATTTTCTCTTCACCACAAAAATAAGCCACTTAATCGTAGGTTACAATTAGCATAATTTCAGACTATACTTAAATTTTTTTTTTTTTACTTACACTAGGTTTTAATTGTTATATACAAAACATGGTAACGGGTTCTATTATATTTAAAATAATGTACTTAATAATTTATAAGAAAGATTTTGTGGCTTTAAACTTTAAAGAGTGACTATTAATTAGGAAATTTAAATAAGCAAAGGCATAAAAGATTTTTTGATGCACATCTTTAGTTGTATTCTCAAGGTGGCTACCACCTTCAAAATATGCTATCATCTAGGATTCTAGGCAGATGTTAGACAGTTAATGTTAAAGTAATAAACTTTAATTATCGGTATATATATTTTTTTTTCTTTGCAATAAAACTGTATAACTGAAAGTTTGTAATGTTTTTTACCAGGCACTAGGCCTAGCAGAACTAGAGGCTGGTTCGAATGCGCCCGGGATGAGGTCTGTGTTATGTGATCTCACGTTGCTCGGGTACCATCTCGTTATCTGTCACTTCATTGGCTCCCCTGGTGACCTGAACATCTGCGAGAAGATCCTAAAAAAAGAACTCAAGGTAATATTAGTTTAATGAAAAGACAAGAAATAGTAGTGCACTTTCAGCTAGTTGCACAAACGTTTATTAAAATTTTCATTAGTTTAAAGCGACATTACCGATACAAATTTGACATTAATTAGAGCTTAAGGGCGTCATTAAACCTTAATTAACGTTTGTGCAACTGACCAAATATCTCTTATCTTATAGCATAACACACAATCGGCAGCTATAACAATAAATTATGAAATAGGTTGGTAATTCTTAGCATATTATATTTTTTCAAAACTTACTTACGGTTAATGATGTGTGGATTTTAAGAAACGAAACGTGGACAGTCATGTTGGAGCATCGCGTGACCTCACATTTCAAGAAACTAAACGTCAACATCTTTGTTGCAAGTGCAAGCAATACTCACGGCTTGTAATGTCACGTGACTGATTGTTTTCCTGTATTTATACACCTTTTGGGAAAAAATAAATCTAATAGTGGTTTAATCAAGTAGTTAATTACTTTTCAAATAACAATTGTTACAGATTTATCCGAACAGCGTTTGGTTCCTGGTATTTAAGGGAAGGCTCGAGTTGCTACGTGGTCAATTTGAGCCCGCTATTGAAACTTATAACCGTGTAGTTGTCAACCAACAGACATGGAAACAGTTCCGTCACGTCTGCTACTGGGAGATCATGTGGGTTAACGGGTGAGTGCTCTACATTCTACGTTCGAGAATAGAAAATTTTTGGAACCTCTAGAATAAACTAAAAAGAGAGCATTTTTCTTTGAGATTCCACCCCTCCCCCCCTTCTAAGTGAGTTAACACTGCAATTAGTTTAACTTGGGATTGTCGACTATCATGACATTGACGTTTATTGAATAGTGACGTCACAAGATGCTCCGTCATGGGCATTTACACTTTATCAGTACCCTAGCAATTTTAGCCAATTTTGAGCTCCAAACATACTTACGATTATACGTACGATTATATCCGATTGAGCAAACACGTCTAGTAAAAACCTTATTAATTAATAAATTGTGTGTGTTCTGAATAATCTAGTGTTATTAACACGCACACTACCTATTAAATGAAAAAAAAAACTTTATGTGCTGAAACCGTTTAAAGTAGTTTCATTTACTTAATTTTAATCTGTTTCGCAAAAGACGAAGATACCTCTTTGTATGTGACAGCTAATTTCGGGAATATGTCATTGAATTAGACACTCACATCCCTCAGTAGCGATACTAATTTTAACTAACTTTTAGCTTAAATAAGGTATTTGACAACATTAAAAATATATTAAAATTTGTGGTCATCCTGTAAGATAATAACGTAATAACATATATTGACTACAATTTTTAATATAATTTTAATGTTGTCAAATACGTTATTGCGATTTAGTTTTGTGTGTGCAACTCTAATCTTTTATTTTGAATCGCGCGAGGCATGACCACATAGACCACGGCGCGCGATTAATATAAAAGCGAATTAGACTACTGCCGATGGTCATCAAAAGTCATCATCCGATCAAAAGTACATTATTTTCAAATCGGCAGTACCGAAGGATTTCTTATGTCAAATTGGCGAAATTCCACTCTTCAATCGGTGTACCCGACTATACTGTGCACAAGCGTTGGGGTCCATAAATGTACTATTATTATTGTGAAGATCATAATACTACATTGTGAAATGCAATAAAATAAATAAATTTTTACATTAGTCTTTTAATTTGTTGTTATTTTTTAGGCGTCCTTCCAGTGTTTTGCCTAGGGCGCCAAGTTTCAATGAGCCGGCGCTGTGTATCAATTAATATAACCAGTTTTATATTTATCTATATAAAAATGAATCACTATTACCCTTGCTCACGCAATCACACGTAAACGGCTGCACCGATTTCGCTAATTCTTTATTTGTTGTGTTGTTATAGAGTAAAGAAGGTTCTTATGAAAGAAAAAAAAAATGTGTGGAAAATTTGAAAATCTAAGAACATTTAACCACCATATAAAATTATTTCTAATCTTACTTTAGTGCTTTGGATAATACAAACTTTTTTAATGTAACTTTATGACGTTTGATATAGAATTCGAATTTTTTTTTTTATTAAGAACCTCTGTCGGGTTTTGAGATAGTTTATTATATATTTATACGTGTATATTTAGGCTGATGATGGAGTGGCGTGATGCTGCATTATACGCCGGGAAACTGATCGAAGAAAGCTCATGGTCTCGTACCGTGTACTCGTACACTAAAGCTGCTATGTTGCTGCAGTTAGGCGACAAAATCACCGCGCCAGAACGACAACACTGCAACGAACTACTGAGGTTTGTGCCACTGTTGTTTAGTTCCTATAGGGGTTACAAAAAGCTAATTTCTGAATGGAAAGGCGTTTTAATGTGCATTGTTATTTTTATTTTGCGTTTGTTTGGTTTATGTTTGAATTATTTATGTCTTATATATGTCATATACCGCAGTATATAGTGCGGTAAGTTCTGCTTGAGGCCAGTTTGGCAACTCACACCATTGCACTTTCTGTTGTTGTTTTTTTTTTCGTTTTGTTTTTATAGTCATTATGTGATTTATTGTAAGTATGCTATAAATTGTGTATGTGGTGTGTGATGTCAATAAAAAAAAGCTTTCTATTCTAATGCATTTTGTTTCCTGTCCCACTCTAAAGGTATCCGCAGAATACCAGAGTCACAGGAGACTTTCAACGTAGACTCGTGGCATTATGCTGAGCGGAGGCCAATTTGGCAATATTGTTAGTTCTAGTTTCATTTTGTATTTGTCAAATGAACATTTTATTCATTCGTTCATCCATAAATAAAAATAATTTTTCAACAAAAAATATTTTAATTTATGAATGAACGAATGAACAAAACTTTTAGAAAACACTTGATTCGTTTGCAATTTTTTTGTCTTTTGGCTGATAAGTACAATGGGCGTACCCAAAGGGTAAAACGGTGTGACGGGTTCGGTGCTTGGGCCAATTAATGAGAGGCTGACTTGAGAATGGATTTATTTATTGTATAAAGGATAAAGTAAAGAAACTATAACAAACAAAAAATGAATATAAAAACAGTTCGTATGTTAAACTAAATATACAATTTAAAATTACCAAATAAAACGAATACATACCCCTTCTGGGTTTCTGATTAAAACCTGAACGCTATTACAGGATATAATTTATTTATTCTATTTATAATTTTTATTTTAGACGCTTATCTTCATAATTTTCATAAAGAGTATATTTAATTAGTCATAATTTTAAATTACGAAAGGTGAATAATAAAAAGAAAATGATGTCGAATATCAAAGACAAAAGTTAGCATACTGTAACCTAGGAAATAAACGGTGGTAAGGAACACCGTTACAACGGGAACCCTATTACTAAGACTTTGCTGTCTGTCTGTCACCAGGCCGTATCTCGTTAACCGTGAAACTTTGACAGTTGAAATTTTCACTGATGTACTTCTGTATTGTATGTACCTATACTAAAAACCAGAATAAAATATATATTTAAGGGAACCACCGTACATCAAACGTGTTTTTTTTTTTTGCTCGTTTCCGGTACAGAACCCTTCGTGCGTGAGTCCGACTTTCACTTAGCCGGTTCTAACTATTCGGTCCGCGTATATTATAGCCTATTTCACCCACATGTGATGATGCTTCCCGTAGGTGAAAAAATGTTCTTGAATGGATAAGTACTTCTTTATAATGTTTTTAAAATGCCTGTTTGATGCAAACAAACAAACAATCAAATCTTTCCTCTCTTTAATATAAGGTTAGATAGATTACGCCATTTTTATACTAAATATATTTTATAGAATTGAAGTATGATGTTTGAAAATATCAACAAACACATTTTAATTACAACCACAATATAAACTTTGTTTCAGTAGTTATTTATTATTACTCACGGGATTGCTGCAATTTATCTTTTTTTTATGAGACCCCGATAATACGCCATTATTGCAAATACCATGAGTAACTTTAATCATTTACTTACTTTAGGAACGCATCGTTATATAAGCAGCGTATCGCGGGCAAATCATTGCCGATGGAAAAGTTCATGATACGTCGCAGTGCTAGATATCTAGCGCAGGGTGGACAGCTGTTATTGCCAGCTATAGAACTGCTTTGTCTATGGAACATGTTACATATCCTTGCGAAGAACGAACGCGACGCACAGAATATATTAAAGGTAAGTGTTATCGGCCTCTTATGCGCGGACTGTAGTTTTATATTATATTTCAAAGACAAGCCAAAGTCATATTACATTAAAAATACTGGATATATTGTTACTACTTTTTATAGCTTAGTAACAATAATTAATAAGGAAATATTAAGCTTAAATAAATAAGTGTTTTTTTTTTCTAATTCGTTTTGAGTTTTAAGAAAGAAAAATTGATTTTAGTTTGTTTTATTATAGTAATTTTTTAATGTAAATCATTATTATATTTTTTAAACGAAGGTTCAGTCGAATTAGCAACTTTCTCATTAACCCAGAACAAGGCATTGCTTAACTAGGAAACGCATAATATTACGAATCGACTAAGTAGATTAGTTTAATTCCAAATTTATATTGATATATTTTATCCCTTGATTTATTTATATCATGTCATATGACATAAATAAATCAATACTATGTACTATATATACATGTACATATATATGTACGCATGCCTAGCGCAAGGCGCCGCATATCGAATATCATAACTTTAGACATTGCTTAATTTCGTTAGGTGGTTCCTAGTCAATGGTGAAATGCATTTTTACCTTAGGATGGTATCATAACACGAACCTTTATTTGTGTTAGCTAATAGAAAGTACACGGGATCGTCTTGAAAGCGGCCCCCAAGATTGGATGGCTGGCTACGATGCCGATAACCGCGCTCTACTCCGCTACTTGCACGGATGCTGTCTATCAGCGATGGGACTTCCACGTCTCGCGCTCGAAACACTAGAATCTGTTTTTCTGTAAGTCTATATATAGGATTTTTAAGCATTTTGTATTAAGAATCATTTTCAGTATGGCATTGTGAATGCAAAATTAATAAAAATATAATAGTCTATATATATATATGAACATTTTCAATACTGAGTTTCTTATTTTTAATCAAATTTGTGATATTTTTCCCATTTATTAACCTAAAAATCGAATATAAAATGTGTTTAGAAACATGTCGATTTGTTTAATTCATGAATACTACTTGTACAAGTTCAAAGGTTTGTCTATTTTTTTTTTACTTACAAATATTTAACAAAGAAAATTTTGTTACACTAACTATTTTATATTGACTTAATGAAATCTATACATATAAAAGCGAAAGGTCACTCACTCACTCATCACGAAATCTCAGAAACTACAAGTGCTAGGAGTTTCAAATTTTGCATGCAGGTTATTTTTAGGACGTAGGCGCTCTCTAAGACAGGATTTTATGAAATTCAACCCCTAAGGGGGAAAATTAGGGGATGAAAATTTATATGAAACTTCGTTACTACAAGTGCTAGGTGTTAAAAATTTTCCATGCGGATTCTTTTTAGGATTTAGGTGCTCACTAAGACGGTAAATTAGGGGATGAGAATTTTAATGGATTTTTCTCATTTCTGGACTTAAAACTAGATCACTCGGGCGAAGCCGCTGGCGGAAGGCCAGCATATTATATAAGATACCATTTAATGTTCAAATTTAAATGGCAATTAAATTGCCGGATTGGAGCCTTGCCCTGTAATAGTGCTATGATAATTATCCTTAAGTCAGTTTCAGATGCTCGCCTAAAAATAAAATGTAATTTTTTTTTAAGGATAATTTCCGATATTTTAATAGCTTATACATTCATTCTAACAGACTGAAGAATGATATAAAAGAAGATACGTTCCTGTTGCCGTATTCCGTCGCTGAGATGGCGATGTGCCATTATCATCTCGGCAACAAAGATCGCGCTATACAAATGCTTCATGATGCGAGGTTAGTCACGACTTTTCTTTAGTACAAATATGATTATAATTAAAGGATAAAACTAACAAACTTATAACACTACATCTAAAACCTTCGTCTGTAGTAAAAGAATACAATATAGAATGTAAAGTTATGGGCTCAAGTAAAAATATACTTGTGATACGTATATACTTTTGTTATTATACACACACTAGCAATTTCCCGGTGACTTTTATACGCAAATTATAACCTATGTCACCCGCTTATGATGTAAAACTACATCTTGCGCACTTTCCGTAGCCAAATCGGTCCCGTTGTTTCAGACTCGATTCGATGCAAACAAACAAACAATCTAATAATTTCCCTTATAGTCCGTTGCACAAAGAATGAGTAGTGGGTATGGTGGAGATGGTTTGACGCATTTTGTATTTTCAAATAATAATAATCATAATTGTAAAAATAGTTTGACTATGTATACTATGTTAGATAATTATTTAAATTTGCATAATAAAACACAAATCAATATTTAATAGCCAGCATTATTGAAATCTATAGGGTTAGATAAAATTTAAAACATCAATACTTGTAACGAAAATTTGAACGTTTTTTTAATAGTGATTGCATCAATAAAATCGTTTTAATGGAAATATGTGTTCGGTAGTAATTTGACATTTTTTAAATTATCGTTTTTGTAACAATTAATTATAATAACATTATGAATTTTACGGTTTCGGCTTCATTTTGTTGATGAATAATTTTTTTTTTAAATGCTGTTTTATACATTGACCTCAAAATACAGTGTCGCTATTAGAAATAAACTTAATAATATTGAGTTTTTATATATATATTTCATTACCAGTTCACATCACTGGAAACTTCAATTCCCAAACGTCGCCGTACCCATGCTTTGTGAAGAAGACTATAATAATAGTATAGACTATTTGTGGTTAGCTAAGTTAGATCATTTGAAATAACACACGGTGGACGATCCAACATGGTTGTCTAATTATATTTTCAAATGAAATAGTTCTCCACGATAACATAATCTATTCAAAAAAAGCACAAAAATATGAGAATAAACTTTATTTAAATGAATATGAATATTTATAAAAAAAAAAAATCTTTTTATAAGCTTATAATAATTCTTTAAATGAAAAAACACTATAGGGTACACTTTAAATTTTTAAATAAATTTAATTATTTATCATTTTCAGGAAGAAGTATTCCGGCTATTCCCTAGAGTCTCGTTTACATTTCCGTCTTCATTCAAAGATGCAAACAGTAAAAGGTGGCAACTAGTAAGTTACAACAGAAAAATCGACATGTAAGAACAAAATAGATATCAGATTATCAAATTTTTTATAACATTCTCAATCAAAAGGAATATCATTGTTTTCTATTCAATCGTACAAAACAATATTATCAACTAAGCTGAAAATATAATTTATAATAAGAATTTCGATGAAATATTGCATGCAGTAAATTTCCTTTTATCGACAATAATATCCAACTACATTACATTTACTGTAGTTTAAGCAAAATTAGAACAATTGAAAGACTTTATAGAGAAATGATAAATGTTACAAAACTATTTAAATAGTATTTAAATTAAAACTTTAACCCAATCCAATAGGGCTGATAATATTATTATTTGTAATTTATGCAAATAATCCTGGTTTTAGATTTTCAGTTCTATTCGATAGGGATAAGGTGTAAAATTAAATATAAGATAAGAATGTTTTTCGGTATATATATGTGAAAATTGAATTTTTACAAGGATTCAGCCTATTTAAATTATTACATTCGTTAGAATAATTCAAAAGAAAGTACCATAAGGGAAAGGAATAGTAGTGTTTGATTGATAAAATAACTGCACATAAGGTTTTTTTGAGTCCTATATATTTGTAGTTTCATTTTACAAATGACATAATGCCAATTTACAAAGCGACATAAACACAGTGTTCTTCCAAAAACATATGATAGGATAAGAACAAAATGAAGAACTGAAAATAATTACTAAATTAAAATGAACAATTAATTTTGTAACTTTGCGTCAGAAAGGGTTGATGTAAGACTTAAATAAGTGTATTTTATGTCGTTACTTTATTAAACTATAAAAGAAACTACTATTCAAAGATAATTGGCCTGCTAAGCAAATCATTGTTGTTGTAGTGATACTCTATGGTATTTGTTTTGTTTATCTTTTGCGTTATATTTGATTTTTTTTATAAAAAGTTCTGTTGTTTAATTTTGTTTTTAAATTTTGTTATTGGTGTTGGTTATTTTTATTTCTCGACTTTCCGAGCATATTACACTGTGTTAAAAAACATGTAATATTTTGATATGTTTATTAACAAGAAACTAAGACAAAATGGTTATTTTTGTATGTTATATGGCGTCGTGTTTTATCAGAGTTCCGTTCCAATAATTAAGTCGAAACGAAAATTTCAAATTTTTTGCATTTTTTAATCGTACAACTTAGCATAGATGGCGGTAATAAAAGTCATAAAAACGAAATAAATTATAGTATTATTGTGTTTATGTTGAATTGATAAAATATGTAACATTAAACTAAATTTAATATCAAAAATGAGATATTTTTTACTAGGTATAAGATTCAGTACATCGCCCACAATAAGGTATTTTTTTTAATAATTACTTACTGATTTACAAGTAATCTTTAGGTATTTTTTAAAAACTCGAATCTTCTCTTTTGTGTTCTAATTATCTCTGATATATGAATATACAGGGTCATATGCAACCACAGTAAATGTTTTTACTTTGCTTTCATTAAAAAATAAGTCTTAAGTTAAATTACCGCTCCAACATAAGTAATTATCTATATCTAATATATAGGCACATTGTACAGCGATTGAGAGTCGTCCAGCCGAATTTATGAATAAAATCGCACGTTGAGAACGATAGTGACACAATGCAAAAAATGAGATTTTGAGTAATGAGCGTTTAAAGTTCAAAAAATTGTAAGCAGCCCCTCTAAACAACGTATCGTCACTACGCCACCTAGCAGTTTCTATGCAAGCTATGTTCACAGGGATCTTTACATTTTAAAGTTTATACTTAACAAAGAAAAATGTTGCCAAAAGTAAAAAATACGTCGTTTTTGGTTAGTGACATTGTCATTCTCAACGTGCGAAATATAGATTGAAATATAGGTTAAAAGCGTTTTTGTTGTTAGCTGTCCAATGTTTCGATGTTGCTAGTTTTGCAAATAGCCCTGTATACTTGTATACGAATTCTACATTATAGTCGTTCACATAGATAACTGTATATGAATCTAGTATGTGGGATTGAACTATTAAGAGCAAAAAGCACATTTGAAGTGATTTAAATAAATAAAAAAAGAAATTACTATGTACAATTTCACATTGTTATTTTTTTGTTTTAATTAGCCAAGAATTAAGATGTCTGATACTAAATGTCTTAAAATATGTATATGTGTGTATATTTAGCAAAATTTTGTGATCGAAATGATTTTCACTATAAAAATCGATCGTATTTATAATGAAATTATACAGTAGGAACGCCAGCAAAACTAGAGCAAGAATCTAAACAAACTTTCAGGGGTTCAGGGGTTATAAATATAAATGAACTTGCTGTTTACAATTAAGCGTCATTATCTGTATTAGAAGAAGATAATTTATTATATATCAATATTATCGATTTTGTTATAAATATCTCCTTTATAAATTCTGCACTTACAGCTTTTTTTTCCTTTTAATTGCGCAACTATTGCGTACGAGAGATGATAATCGTTCACTATTGTAATGTAACTCATTAACGGTCAGATTGTTAAATTGTTTTATATCGTTACGCTGGCTTTTAGTAAATACAATAGAATACTGACTGAAAGATATAAAAAGACAGGTGCCGCATATTGCTTATCCTATATAACATATAGAGATACTGCGGCTGTACAAAATATGAAGCATATAACAATATTATACTTCGATAATATAAACGACACGAAACGCTGTACACAGTAGTGAAGTTCGTAATGAGTTCATTAATTAAAGCGTTATTTGAATATTAATGGACAGTTATCTACGTTAACATGACAGAGTATCATTAAGAAAGAAATGCGTGTTTTTTATTAATACGAGGGTCAAACTGAAAGTTCTTAGAAAATCAAAAACTGATTACATTAGCCAGTTATTAGTTTTATTATATCTTTTCAAAATATTGTCCATTCACGTCAATACACCGCTGCATGCGATGGAACCACTGGGAAAAGCACTTTGCCCACTCGTCCTTAGGGGTCTCTTCAATGGCATCGCGATACGCAGCCACCGCTTCTTCAGCATTCATAAACCGCTTTCCTTTAAGTTTTTCTTTAATTTTTGGAAATAAATAAAAATCACAAGGCGCGAGGTCGGGGCTATACGGCGGGTGACCCAGTAATTCAACGTTTGATGTCGCCAAATAGTCGATCGTTCGCTTGGCGGTGTGCGACGAGGCGTTGTCGTGGTGAAGGAGGATCCTACTGCGAGGTCGTTTCTCTCGAACTTTTTCCAAGACAAGTGGCAAACAATTGGTAGTGTACCATTCTGCAGAAACTGTTTTTTGATCCTCTAACACAATTGTTGCAAAATGACCTATCCTTCCAAAGAACGAGGCCACCATTTTTTTCCCGCACTTCGATCTCTCTTCACTTTAGTTGGCAACTCCTCGAAAGGAAACACCCACTGAGCAGATTGTCTTTTGGTTTTAGGATCATAACAGTAAATCCAGCTTTCGTCACCTGTTAGTATGTCGAACACAGCATTTGAGTCACCTCCGTTAAATCTTTCAATCATTTTACGACACCAATCCACACGATGGAGTTTTTGAGCCTCAGTCAAATTATGAGGTATCCACCGGGCGCAAAGCTTCCTGACCGCTAAATGTTCGTGGAGGATTTTGTGCACTTGACTCATACCGATGCCTAAGCTTGTCCGAATCTGTTGATAGGTCACTCTTTTGTCAGTCTCTATCATACGCCGCACAACACAGATGTTATCTTCAGTCGTCGCCGTAGAAGGCCGTCCCTCACGTAAATCATCAGTGAGATTAGTGCGACCACGTTTAAACTCATTAAACCAGTTGTAAACAGTCGCACGAGATGGGGCTTCATCGTGAAAGGCCAATCGTAGTCTATCATAACTTTCTTGTTGACTTAAATGACATCGAAAGTCATAAAAAATCATTGCACGAAAATTTTCTCGTGTTAAATTCATGATGACGTGACACAGACAATTTTCAATTTGCCGCCAAATCGTAAAACAAATGACAAATGAATGAAATATATACTCAGTAATATTGGCAAAGAGTTATATTTTCAAATTTTAGAATTATTTTTTTATTATATTGTTTATAAGTGGCCAGTTCTAAGAACTTTCAGTTTGACCCTCGTATAATAATCCCTTAGTTTAATATAGACGTAAAAATTTATATCGACATCCTGTTTTGATTAAGTTCACATTTTGCATATAACTTTTAAACAATATACAAAAATATAATTATGTTTTATTGGATAAAATATGCGCTCTGTATGAGCAACAATCAATATTCTTTAATGCTGGTAATAAAGAGTATAAGTAGTAGTAGACATTATTTATGACTTTCATTAGTACAAAAGCTTAGCCTTTGTGTGTGATTTTGTGTAATGATTAGTTCGAGAGCTAAAAATTTACAATGTAATATATAAATTTGATCATCGAATTTATAAATTACATTTAAATTTTAATAACTTTGTTTGTTTAGTGCTAATTGACTTTTATGAAGCAAAAGCAAATGATTTACTTCATATATGTATTACTTGTGAGTGATGTAGGAAAACTGAATTTATGTATTTAGCTGCATGTAAGGAGAACAAAAATACACAACTGAACGTATTATTTTGTAATCTCGATATATATTATTATAATAAAGAGAAATAAGTAAAAAATAAAGATTCTTTAACAAATCGAAAAATCTTGATATGTATTTACTTAAATACATCAGATATGGTGATAGTCCCGTATATAGGTACATATGATAATGTTCTTATTATAAAATGGTATATGATATGTAATAGGTTAGCATCTATGAGTCTACATCTGGAATTTATTAAGTTGCTGGTCGGAGTAGAATTATTTAATTTAAAATAACGTACGTACTCTTTTCGTTGATCTTTGTCCTACTCTACCACATCAAAAATATGTAAGTATATAGCCATAGCTAAAAATATATGGTTTTATTAGATGGAGTCCAGGTATCACAAATTGTATACTAACATAACTACCCACGCATGTTCCTATCCTTGTATAATCGAGAAGCGACTTATATATTTATAAAGTTTCCCTACAATTAAAGGTTTTTGTTCATAATCATTTGAAAGTTAGTCATATTTTATAAATCCATTTGATTTTTTGTCATAAGAGCATATAATCTGCATTATAGAAACGCAGTTGGCTTGACAATATTCCCAAATAAAATATTACTTTTATACATGGCATTTCAAGATGTAGACGTTTAGATACTGACAATAGTTTGTAAGTAGTACTTTATGATAAAATATTACATGTTTGATTGTTTATATGTGATGTAAACTAAATATTCATAATATAGATAGTTACCAATACACAGGTATGGAAACAAATTGTACTATATTTATCGCTTTTTTTTAATAATTACTGCTGAATAGGTCAGTCTAGTACAAATTACTGCAATTTGAACTTTAATACCATCGCTTTGTGGTTATGCGGATATGCTGTCGACTGTATAATATATACTTGTAATTTATGATAGATTTTTTAAATGTTGAATAAACAACATATTAAAAAGGGGTTAATTGAATAATAATAATACAATTTTAAAATCCATTGATACTTTAAACAGCCACAAAAAATTGGCATTTATATAATGGGCGAGTCCACGAGAAACAAGTAAATCGAGAGATTGTTTTAAGCCCAAATTTTACAAATTTGCACGAATTTCTAGCACTGTTTATTGTTGAGCAATGTATTAATAACACTACTAAAATTACAATTTAGACAGGGTGATATATTATTCATGTTAACATTTAAGTAGATATGTTGCTTATTGTTGGAAAGCAGATATACCTAAATCAGGATTACATAGGTAAATAAGGTAAACAGATGTATAGTATTTTTGTCATTGTAGTCTGTGAACGCTTACGCAATACTATGGCGTGACGACGCATCGCAAGTATATGACTAAGATACAAAATCGATGTTGGCATAAGGACTGCGTTCACTGTCGGCACGGCCACTTTTTTTGCTCCATGAACATTATTTTATCATCAGCCCTGTTACGGTCCCACTGCAAAGGCTAGGCCTTCCTTATGAATGGTTAAGGAGAATACTGATTGGGGGGTATTAACGACTGCAGATGCATTTGAGACCAACGGCTCAACGTGCCTACCGAAGAACGGAGTAGCTTGAGCAAAAAAAAAATTTTTGGTCACCCATCCCGTGACTATTGTGAAAGTTGCTTAACAACATCGATCGCGGGCCGAGGCGCTCATCCATTACCACCGAGCTACATTCTTCATTAAATTAATCTCGATCACAATAGGGATGACGACAAATTTTTGTTTGTTTGTTCATCAGGTAAATTATTGAGGTCCGCGGCCCTTAATCATGTCTGAAAAAGTGACAGATTGATTGTCTACACTGTGCCTGTGCCTGAATTTGTCTACTGTACTATCACTGATCTAAGCATTATATAAAAGACTTTTTTATATTGCATTTAACAGGGCTCTTTAGATTTATGATCTACAAAAAAATGCAAAAAAATATAATTGTATGATGTTCACACACATTTCATGAAAAAAAAAATGTGTTTTTACCGCCGAATAGGAGCCATTAGTGTTCGTTTGCATGCTGTGCCTATCAATGTAAAACCAGTAGAAATTTACTTGTATCGTCATTCTTGGATGCGAGATCTTTCTTGCGATGCTTGGTCGCGCCACAGTACCTAAATTATAAAATGCAAAAAAAAAAAAAACAAGTTGTTTGTCTGATTGTTACCCTAAAATATTAGTTTGTTAAATATCTAAATTATTATTCTTTAAGTTCATATTCAAGTGTAATTATTATTATACGTGCTAGAGACTGTTTTCTTTTTTGGGAATACTTAGGGCAGGTCAAGATTATTGTAACACTATTTGGTCTATCAAATATTAGTGTACATCGCAACTATCGACGCTATGTGGTGGTATTATCAAATCTCTTGATCTGCAAATCCTTTAGATAAAATCGTAAGTTTTAATCTCCAATTTGAGGTGTGGTCGCTAAAATTGAAGTAAAATTTGAATAGATAACAATTTTACAAATGCGACTAACGTCAACGAACCGCGTTGCGATTTTTTATTAATTACCTCGAATATTGTGTATGATTGAATTGTTACATTTCTTGTATCTACACATTATACAAGTATTTATTGAAATCAAACGAATTATAAATATTGCGCAGTGGTAAATCTATTATCCGGACTTCGAATATTATGTTAAAGACCACGCATTCTTTATTTATTTTGTCAAAATATTCCAGCTTTTATAACGAATTTCATGGGGGATGCTACTATTGCATGGTGATGTTATTATGTTTCTATCTGTTCCTCCGAATATTTTTCCTATTTTTGTATCGAAACAATGGATATTTTCAAATTTAGAAAATAAAATGATTAATGGTCATATCTTTTTTTTTCTTTTTTGTCATTAATAAATAATATATCCTATCAGTACGCTATCAGCTGTCCATCATCTTACTTAGCTAAGCTTAGTTACGACTTAAGCCTCAATGAATATATGAAAGTTTCTGTTTTAGTGAGTACCAAAGAAAAGGTTCATAAAATAGTTAAAGCACTTCTATAACTGAAATCTTAAAGACTGCAGATTTAAATATAGAAAAGCTTACGTCTATATTGACACAATCGGGATCAAACACGGGACCTCAGATATGGCGTGACATCAGTATATTGAAACAGGGCGTGCGATGCGAGTCACAGCCACGTAGCAAAATACACCAGCAGAGCTATCTGACTTTCTTACTATGGGATACGACATCTTATCGATGTTATGGCGATATTTCGTTTCGTTTCACTACTTTGACATGTACTTTGGTAACAATGGACGAATGATTAACATGGATTTATTAAATCCAACTTAGTCATTTATCTCAATTTTATCCACCAAAAGACAAAGTTATAACATTAAATAAAATTACGTCATATTTGATAATTTACTTCTGCTGGATGTTGTATGACATGGTGGACTTGTAATGTCGTTTGAAAGCACTGCAAAAGCGTGTGCAGGTTCTGTTCCATTGCACAAAGAGTTTTCTAGATAAGCAGACTTCTTCTTATCTAGAGATCCATCAAGGCTTCAATTTGACAGATTGGATGTAGCGTAGCACTGCTATAGACTGATATCAGCACAGCAGCGCCAACTGATAAATAAGAGACTAAAAGATGACCTGTTTGTCGCGCTGTCCGACTGACGTCAATTCAGTAGCGTCACTCCCTATTTGGTAACGGACTGATAAATATGGGACAAGGCGGATAAAAAATTCGTTTTAAAATCGAACAGGGTGGCACTGCCACGCCAAAGTGCGAAAACTATGCATATTTTTTCGTACTTATCATAGTTACAGGGAAATAGGTATAATAACTACCTATAGATACGCGCGTTACTCTCGTATCTATCCATAATCGAGTACTCAAGTGTAAACTCGTGTCTATCTATAGTCGAGTAGTCTAGTGTCACATAGTTTATATATATATTTGAGTGTTACACTCGTGTCTATCTATAGTCGAGAGAAGTAAGTAATTACTTGAAAAATTGCTGTAAGTGAAGCAGATATAATATTTTTGTAAATTATTCACTACAAAACACAAAATAAATATTTGATAACAGATTTTGTTGGTTGACATTGGAGTGAGCGTTTAAAGTTCAGGAAATTGTAATCCGACCCTTCTTCTATGCAAACTACGTGCACAGGGATCTTTGCATTTTAAAGTTTATACTTAACAAAGAAAAATGTTGCCAAAAGTAAAAAATACGTCGTTTTTGGTTAGTGACATTGTCATTCTCAACGTGCGAAATATGGTATGGCCGATCGCGTGGACAACCGCGCAATGTTGGTTACAATCATGGTGGCACTCAGTGATTGCCCATCATCGCCGATAGTGGATAGGTACCATTATATTCTGTGCCCGCGGGCATACCCGTCTAGTGAATTACCCGCTTTACTCTCCAGCCATTGGTTACGATATCTCTGCGAAAATGAAGACGATGGTCGTTTCATATTACTACTTTGACATGTCTTTTGATGGATGAATTTGGGATAAATTTCTAAGTTTAGTAACCCTGCTATCAAATTCATATTCATCATTAAATTGTCATACGTTCTGTATTATTAAAGTACCCATTTTCTGCGATTATTAAAAAAGATATATAATAATGATACAAATTTTTTCATCATTAGTTAGTCACAAAGTTAAAATATACCCTGAGCTAATAAATAACTTAAAAAAATACTGAAACTATCTCTTTTTTATTAAATCATAATTTATAAGATTGAAATTACACTGAATACAAAAAATCGACCATCAATATAAAATCATTGTAATTTAAGTTAGTCTACTTCAAGATTGTATCTGTAAATTGTAATGTTAACAATAAATAATTATGTATCTATGTATATTATACCTATAACATATTAGACTATATATTTAGTGGTTTATACAATAAATTAACCATTTATTAATTTAGGCCACTAGATGACCACTAGATTTTTCAAATGACAATCCAGGATCTTAAACCTCCAGACCTGCGTAGGGCTTCTCCCGCTTAAATTATAACCTGTGACACCCTCCTATGATGTGCAGCATTCCGTGGGTGAAGATTTTTTTTAAATCAGTCCAATAGTTTCAGAACCCATTCGATGCAAATATACGTATTATTATTATTATATTATAAAGAAGAAAGATTTGATTGTTTGTTTGTACCAAAAGGACGCCTGGAAAAACTATAATTTATTTATTTGTATATTACATACAAAAAAAAAATAACTTTTTCCAGGCAATGCACCATAAACACTTTTTAAAATCTAGTAGCCTTAAATACATGGCCACCAAGATGTCAATAAAAAAAAATTTAAAGTTCGAAACTTTCGCAATGTCAGTCATCAGACAAAAGACATCCGACTGACTTGTTGAAGGGGCTTGTCCAACTTTTTTAAGGTCACCGAAGTTTGTGTCGTTTTCTGGAGAAATTCCAAGATGAGTGAGCAATTAAAGACTGTCTCTGCCATGAACAAATTATATATTGGAAACCTCCCTATTGAAGCTGATGAAGCGGCCGTGAGGCAGCTATTTGCAGAACAAAACTTAACTGTAGCTGATATCTCAGTGAAAAGGGGCGGCTATGCCTTCGTTGACTTTCCTGACCAGTCGGCAGCGGATCGCGCTATAGATAAATTACATGGTAAGTGTAAGTAATATAAGAAATTACGATTTAGTTCTTAGATGTCAGACGAAAACGCCATGAAGTTTTATTACCGCATTAGACTTCACTTCACTTGGCATTTTCTATTAACAGTGTGAATGCTTAAAGTCATACTTTGTCGTTTTATTCGATACCTGTCAGAGTATGTAAATTACAACCAATATTTACCATTTGAACAGTCGTCAGTTTTCGAACGAAACCTATTCAGTATTTGACTTATATAGATTAATGCTCTATGATTAAATTACATATTATTTAAATTACATTTTTAAATTACATAGACCTAACGATGTTTTTAACATTATTACCTACCGTTGGATCATTGGTAGACCTTTTTGAATTTAATATTTATATATCTCCATGAGTATTTTTTTAATAATTAGAATATGATTTTAACTTGAATATTTAGATAGTCAATTTTTTATACAGTGTAATGTCTAGAACATCTCACATTGAAAGTTAAGTTTAACTAAACTTATCTAAAAGATCGGTTTGCTATCAGTTCAGATTTTTCGGAAGTTTCTAACTTATAATTGATTAACTTAACTGGATAAGTTCCATAGCTACCCTGCTCGAGCGTGTTATTTTTTTGCTATTAGTAGGTAGGAGTTAATTTTTATTTTACCTGCATAATATAATACGCAGGTCAGTCCAGCGCAGGTAAAGAGGATAGACGTTGTCTTTTAATATAAAAAAAATGTCTTCGTCAGGTTACTCCTATTGTGGACTGCCTCTAATTGTGGAGCCGTCAGTAGCTAGCAAGAAAATGTAAGTGCTGTATTTATATCTTTTTAACGCCTGGTTTAATGGTTACGATTTACGATTAACTATGCTCATTACGCACCTACTCCGTAGTGTCTCGAATATTCTTTCACCAGACCTCACGCGTGTTTACCAGGTGTCGTGTTAACTGTCCATTGTCAGAACTGCAACAATAGTTTGAAATTTAGACGTCCAGAATATTCAGGAAACTAGGATTCTGTTTTAAAATTATTTGACATCTGATGAGAGTTAAATTGAAAATAATGATAGGTATTCTTTCGAGGATGTAATATATAGATACCTAAAAGACGCCAAGTTATAAAAAGTAGACTATTTTTTTTAATTAGTTTAATGAAATTTTATTGTTAGCGTTTATTTGTAATTTGTAATATTGTTTTCTTTGCTCATTATAATTGTTATTTCAGTATGAACGTGCCAAATCTACAAAGCGCGAGTGCCACTCAGTTAAAGGAAAGCAGCACAGATTCTCCAACTGGTGGATGGAGGTGAGTAGAAAAATTATTACTACGACACGAATGATTGATTACCTACGTGTTAGAGCGTGTCCGTCCGCACTGTGATATTTGAATGCGCGACTTTTATATCGTATTTTATTTACCCTGTGATCGGAATCGGTACACCATTTTTGCTAAGTTCGTTCAACTTCAACTTGAATGTTTTACAGAATTGTGCGAACGAAAACGGGTGGCGAAATATTACAATGCAAACAGTTCTATAATAATATTGCGGAAATAATAAAACGTCACTATTTTACTTTAAAAATGTTGTTTATTACATTCGTCTTAATAAACGAGACCGGATAACTTTCAATTTCAAATACCAAATTATCTGAAATGTTTTTAGTCCAGTCATTGAACGTAAAAATAACCTACGATTTGGAATTAAGCTCGTCTTACCCTCTACTTCAAACCTGACTTGTCGCCGGTTGTACTTTTGCTTTTATGGAGTGAACACTATCCTTTAACTTAACAAATAGAAATTAATATATTGAAGCTATGAAAAGGCTGTAATTATGTTCAAATAATGTTACATAATGTATTATTTATATGATAAGTGCTAGTATTTTGATATATCACTATATTATACCATTAAACCACGCTTAAAAACTACCCGGCATAAGGAAATTAATAAAAAAAAACACAAAAAATGTGTAACTTTTGATTTCTTGCCTTAAATAGAAAAAAATGTTCTAAAAGTATACAAAATCCTTTTTTTTTAATTATTCAACCCCAATAATAAAATCTATGGAAAAATGTTTGCGAGAGCATGAAATACTTTGGACCAAAATTGACAAATATAATAAGAGTGAATATTTCAAATAGAAATCAAGATTCTTTCACATTTTCAATCACGAATAACTTGAAAACTTTTTATAAACGTTATCGTAAACGCATATCGTATCTACACTAAGTCTGGTTTATTATTTGCATCATTTTAGAGCTACTGTCCATATTTCAAACTTTTCGATGCGGTTTATAGAAAACTGAGGATATTCCGTTGAATGACTGGACTATTTCTATTACTCAAAATTGCTATTGCATATTCTTTAGACATATAAAAAGTACGAATGAAACACCTTGGTATACGCTAGCCTGATTGCTTTGTTGTGATGGTGATGTTAATAAAGCGCACTCATTTGGACTAGCCATATTTCTGCAATGTAATTCATCGGGGTCTCAATTCTGCTTATTTTTACGTAATAATAATATCTGTTGTTGCCTCAAAGCCTCTACTATAGGATGTTATTTAAAGAGATGTTGTTTAAGAAGATGGGTGGTACCTAACTACGAGTATATTATTGACATTAAGAGATTTCTCTCATTCTTTTTTCTTTTATTTTCGTTCATCTAGATTTTGGGTAGGAATATTTAAAAAAGTATATTTATGACATTGGTAGGTATGGTAGGTATAGATTTCGTAATTTTGCAGAATAGCTAAGTCACAAAGCGTTGCTACAGGTTGGCGTTCTTTGTGTCGTTACCGCCAGGGGTAGATAAGAATTGACGCTCTTATCGAGCGTCTGATCGCCGAATACGAATAAAGGCAGCACTCAAAACGTTCTCTTGAGATGCGGGGGTCTAGTGCGGGTTTTCAGGTACAGAGAATGCCGGCAAATAAATTAAATACCTATTTAGGGGAACAGATTTCAAACCGCTTTAGGCAATTCTAAAGGCGCACAGTGCTGTCCAAAATCTAAGCATTATTTTTCAACACTATCATTGATGTATTCATCAAAAAACAGGCGGAGCCAAAGGCGCCAGGGGCGGGTATGTGTGTGGGGGGTCAATGAAATGGGGTGTTTGACGGGGTGAGCTAACGGATTTACAGGAGTGCCCGAGGCACGTGGCCGGGCGTGAGCCGCGCTCGCGGCGCGCCCACGTGGCCGATCAATAGCCCGCCTCGGCTGCCCGGCGCGGCGCATGCACCCGCCGCCCGCCGCCTACCCTCGCGCACTCATAGACAGCCCGCTTCAAGCTAACGTGTAGTACTCTACAACAACAATCTTACCTAGGTCCCATTTAAACAAAGATATATTCTTACTTTTAATATAGGTTAGCAAATTTTGTGACATTCATACAAATTCAGTTTTTATAATTCAATGGAACAAAATATGGTAACCGTGGTTACAAACATGATTAATTAACAAGTCCCCGTTCGAGACATAAGGCTCTAGTTTGCCTGGCAGGATTTTGACGTGACTTTCTTTAAAACCAAGTAATACTTTTAACCGCTTATTTCGATCATATTCTTTCATATAAACACTTTAGCCTTCATTAAAATAGTGTACCAACCTAAATTTGAAACTTTTACTTTTTTTGGTCACCCATCTTTTGAAAGACCCCTGCGAAAGTTGCGTGATGCGGATTCACAGACTTAAACTGCAATGATCCGAGCGTTCGGTCTCTTCATTCAGCATAATTATAACTCGTACGAATTAGCATGCATTGCATGCATGCCTTCCTCGGACGAAAGTTCAGAAATTTCAAAACTTTCTTTTAATTTTTTTTTAAATCATATCTATAAAAAAATTCTATGCATTTAAACTTCTTAATGAACTGGTGAGTTAGTTTTTTCTTAGTGATTTTCATATAAACCGGCTCTTCTCGTAGTTCTGATCTTACTTAGACATTTACCAGGCTGTTATTTCGACTCCAATTGTCTATATCGACAGCCTGACCACGTTTGACTTAAAGCATGCCGAGACGATGCAGAACCTTCATCAGTGCATTAGAAGGTATTACTGATAACTAAGTGACTGAAGCTAGCTTTTATTTAACTTGCCTTGTTTGTATCTTTGTTAGTGCCCAAATCTTGGAACTCAAATTTGACCTACTTCCAATTGTCCAATAGACTTGAAATTTTCAAGTTTTTCAAAACAGGCTTTTGCGCACTATTTGAAGTACTTATAATCAGATTTTTTTCTTGATATACAAAGATCGACTTATCGCTCTGAAACCATTGAAAAAGACTTCTTTAATGAAAAGTAGGAAATATATTACCTAACACAAGGGTTACAAGTCTATGAATTGTTTTTTAAGCTTTAACTTTTTCTAATAGGTACCTTTATACGGGAAATTACATTTAACGGGAAAATTTACATTACTGTATCTTAAGTTTATAAGAAAATATAGAAGCGTATACTATCTACTCGAAAAAATCAAAAGATGTGTCACTTCGTTATTAAAAAAAATGTTGCATAAATATCGATCGAACACTCAATTTGCATTATATAGAGGCATGGGCGGATCTTGGTGCCAGAGGGGGTCACATAATCGTGGTCAAATCATAAGAAGTTAATTTTAATAATTATAGATAAACAGCCAGTTGCACAAACATCTATTAAAATTTTAATTAGTTTAAAGCGACATTACCCATACATATTTAACATTTATTAGATCTTAAAGACGTCATTAAACCCTAATGACTGTTTATGCAATAAAGTATAATATTAAATTAATTAAATGAGAGTACTTAAATAAAATTTATATTGGAACAAAAAATACATGAAAATCATTATGTAAATCAATTTTAATTATAGTGGGCGCGGAAGTGCTAGTTACCACTTGAGGTATGCGGGTGGTGAGATGGGGGAGGGCGCGATTGTCAATATGCACATGAGGTATTTAAGGACAGTTAGAGTCTATCTTAACCAATAGCGGTATTTCATCATATCAGCCGAGAGGCGCCCACTGCTGGGCATAAGCCTCCCCAAAGATCTCCAACGTAATCGGTCCTGCGCCTCCCGCATCCAGCGGCATTTATAATGTAATAACTGTCTATTTCCTAGTTAAACAAAAATAAATTCATATTTGATAGTATATATTAAATTGTATTATTTACGACACAGTTTTATAAAGAAATTACCATTTCTCAATAAACAAACCAAAAAAGTATTATCATTATCACCGTTATAGTACAAAATTAATCGATATATTCTTCTTCTTCATTACTAGACATGTCTTCCACAGGTCCGTCTTTACCCATGGTTCAGGGGGTGCAAAGCACCCGGGCGCCACACGTTGGATGGTGCACGATGATCGATGATCTTCAGGAAATTCCCTGTTATGGGGGAGGGGGGCGCCACTGGCTAGATATGTGCCGAGTCAGACTAACTCGAGTACAATCATTAGTACTTGAATACCTAGCTGGTACTCAGGTACTCGAGTACCTCGAATATAGGTTTCGAGTACTAGCGACATTCGAATCTTATTTAACAGCGTCCTTAGTCGATTTGAACTGATTCAATGGCTTATCATCCAAATGTCCACTTCTTGTTGCAGGTTTTAACGTATATATTTATATTTCCTATCCTAACCAAGGCTTAATTGTCTAATTTTCAAATCCATAATAATCCCTGTCAGTTTAACATTTGCAATGTATTTATGAACTTCACACTATAATTATTTGACATGTGACAGCGATTCCATCGTTATTTTGGAAAATATTGAATTAATGGTACTGTTATTTTCATGTAAATTGAAATTGTTTAAGGCAATCGTTTGACGTAAATAATACTTTTAGTTACTAAGTTTTTTTATAAAATCTCTTTATCATCCAAATCATTATTTGTTCTTAAAGTAATTGCGACTTTAAACCTTGCATAATTCCAAAAATAGCTATTACTATGACTACACCCTTGAATATGATTGCGATAGATTTAGAAATTAGACAATAGGTTTGATGCCTGGTTGAATAAAAAATCTATTTAGTCGGACAGTCAGATAATAAAAAAATAATAGATATGTATTTTTTATCAAATAATTGATTACAATGATCATAATTATTATTTATAAATGGTTCTTTATATCAGCCTACACTAGCTCAATGGGGCTGAGATCGTGATGATATGGCGTGACGGAAGGCGAAGAACGATATGACCTGCAGCCTTTAAAATTTCGTCAATGGTAAAAATTTTTTCGGACCGAGTTCTTTTTATCAAAGAAAGGAGTTCGGGTTTAGTATTTTCAGGTGTAAAGTCAACATTACACAAGTATGATCATTGTATTACGATATGTTCGCGTAACCGATCTTGCATGACTCTCGTTTGATATTGTAGGAATTTTCAAAACCTGTACGTAATGGTAGGAGCCATTGCCCATCACGACCACTGAATTAGGAACTAATTTATTTTTCAATTTGTGAATAACCCAGTCATGAAAATTTGTGGCATATTTTTATTTGTTTAGGTTTCCGTGGAGACGAAAATTTTAGGTTTTCCGATGTTTTCAGATTTGAATTTCTTTCAGCTACAATTCTCATTACGCTTCGAGCTGACACTCCTGTAGCCTCTGCTAAACTGTGGAGATTGTAAATAACATTTTTCACTTGTCGTGTCTTTGCCGGCCCATCTTAGGATATTTTATCTCATGTATGTTTCGAACAAAGTGGCACAAACAACTAAATCGTGTAACCGTCACGGCGGTCGACGGCAGACTGAGTCAGCTTGACGTTCATTTACCTGCCCTTTCCTGCCATTCACATATCTCAGGCGGTGACTAGCACTTCCGCGCACACTATAGTAGTCCACCTAAGTCCTGGACCCAGTCCGGGGTGGTTATGACCCCTTGACCACCTTACTGAATCCACTCTTGTGTGTTTGTGCGCATACCATATCTAACTGATGGAGGTATTGGTGAATAGTGAATATATACAACACTTTCTGGGAAAAACGTTACCAATATTGTTACCGTGTGGGAGTTACAGGAGGGCATTTACAAAATTTTAGTCAATCCAAAAATATGGCTGAATAGAAAACACACGTACATAATTCCGTTTTTAAATTTGAAATAGAACTCAAGCCTTGAATGACACTAACATTTAATGTAACGTTTCTTTTCAATTTAAAATATATATTTTCGCTTAGAATGTAACAAATGAAATATTCCACTAGATGAATCAACTGTGACTGAGTATAGGATATAGTTTCCTGTTCTCTTTTCAAATGTTTATAAAGCAAATCATTAACTTGAATTTATTGTTAATTGACGTTGATTGGAACATGGTTAAAACGTTGGAACTCGATAATTGCTGATAAAGATTGGTCAAATTGAAGAGATGAAACAATCTACCCGCCGTCCTGGGGGTGCCGACGGGTTATGTTGGACTCTCCTCTGCGCATCCATCAGGCGATAAAAGCTCACCTAATTAATGCGCAGAGGCCTACCAACTAAAACTCCCACGATGTTCCTGCAGTGCCGGCAATAGCCGTTTTAATGGAACCGACTGCACGCCCACAAACAGCCAGTGCCGGTCGCCTGCCTAAAGCAGACCCAACTCTAAGAGGGACATTAACTGTCAACCTCTGATGTTACTAGGTGATGAACTGGAACATTTACTGCATCACCTAGTTTTATGACCTTGGTTTGTATCCTTATCCTGCATCCATATCCTTCATATCCTGCAAGTCCACGGTCCTTAATGCAGCGGCTGATCACGGGCATTTCCCCGCCGTCGTCTTGTTCGCTTTCGTCGTATTGGCTGGAATATAGGATCCACTTCTCTCCTCCTCCTCGCAGCTGTACAGTTTCCCACGACCTCTCGTCGTCGACCATCTTTAGGATGACAGTCGGCAAGGAGAGGTCATTCCCCACAACTGCAGTCAAAGAATTCCACAACTCCGTGTTTACCGGGCATTGCTCCAGCATGTGCTGCACCGTATCTTCGTAGTAGCCGCACTGGTGGCACTCCGGCGTTGGCTCTCTTTAAGTTACTTTATACCCGAAGCAGCCGTACCCAGAGAGGATTTGCTTGAGTCTAAAAGAGAGCGATCCATGTTTACGCTCCACTCATTTCTTTATCATTGGGGCTTAGCTCTCCAGAATTCAGCGTCTAGATCCCATATGCGCCTCTTAAGCCTCCCGCTTTAGGCAGTCACTCCTGGTCTCCAGAGCCATTTCTTGGGCATCTAAGCCCTATCTCTCTACCTCCTTAGGTGCTGGTCGATCGCCGCAGTTCCGCGTCTGTGCTCTTTGCCAGTAC